AAGATGGGACTTGTTTCAAGGGTTGCACCACCTAAGCCACTTCTTACACTTCGACATAGGAAACTGCGACTAAGCTTTGCAAGGAAGTACATAAGCAAAGACGAAGAATTTTGGCGAAAAGTCCTCTTTACTGATGAAACTCGCATCTCAATTTGTAATGATGCAAATAAAGTTCGCTTTCGCAGAAAAACTGGAGAGAAACTGAACATATTTACTCCAACTGTGAAGCATCCTGCATCAGTTATGCTGTGGGGAGCATTTGCGGCTTCCGGAGTTGGCCGAATCAGGTTTCTTGAAAAGGGAGAGGTATGCAACAGTGCATGGTATATTAAAGTTTTAAACCAGCAGGTGAAATGGTCTACAAGAACCCTCTTTCCAGGAACAGATTTCTGGCTGCAAGATGATGGTGCTCCTTGCCATAGGTCAAAACTAGTGAGAGACTTTGTCATGGCCAATGGATGGAAAACTTTAGATTGGCCTCCTCAATCTCCAGATCTTAATCCCATAGAAAACTTATGGTACCTGCTCAAAAGAAAGGTTTGGACCAAGAACTTCAGCAATGCAACTGAACTAAGGGAAAAAATTATTTCTGTATGGAATTATGGTTTGGAAAATGAACTACTTGAGAAGCTGGTACTTTCAATGCCTTCTCGTCTCCTTGCAGTCATCAAAGCTCGAGGTGGCTCAACCAAATTTTAGAAGAGAACAGAACTTATTTTTAAGCTCTTTTGAAACATAATAAATCTTCTTAACTATTTAAAAAAATTTTATACAATATTAACAAAAAAAGAGTTAGTTATAACATAAATTTGTTCAGTTTAATAAGCGTTCACAATTTTTTGAGCAATACTGTATATATATATATATATATATATATATATGTATATATAGGTTTATAATATTAGTTAATTTTAAGACACTCTTGTGATAAATTTAATATTTAATATTCAAATGATCTGCATATATATATTTTTGAAGATATAATTTAATTCTAATTTTGGTTCCCACTGATGAGCTTCTGGCATAATTTATATATAATTATAGATGGAGATAAATTTGAAATTACTGATTTTGACGAACCTTTTGAGAAATATATCGTTCACACAATAATTTTCTCCATACTTTGAATTTTGCTCTAAGCATATAGCACTTATAATCTACTTGGTTTTAACTAACTCTTTCGAATAAATTTGAATATTTATGTTTTAATTGCGGTTAAAAAAAAAATTTTTTTTCTTTTCACATAGTAATTTATTGCATAATTTTGATGATCACTGGTTTTAAAAATCTGTTATTCCATTGTATTTTATATGTTTAATTTAATTGTTTGGTTCAAATTTTAATTTAGAACAATTTTTACATTAATTTCGATATTTGATTGTATTTTATATGCTGAACTTGATTGTTTGGTTGAGATTTTAATTTTTGTTGAAAAATTTTTTACACAGTCTGCACATTTCTGAAGAGAACTGAGTTCGAAACACTAGTGTAGATATTGCAGACGGTACACGAAGTTTTATCACTTAATAAAAACAATTTTAACTCTGTATTGGGTTTTTATTTCGCCAACAAGACATCGTTCGAGCTAATATACACCTTCTCTAATATATACCCCTAATATATGTTCTTAGATGGACAAGTACAAAAATGTTTTTGTTTATTACAAAATTTTTTAGATCTAAATGTTTTGAAAGAAATGATTAATAAATGTGGCAATCAAGAATGGATGTGTGGAACCTGCAGCAATGATCGTAGGGATGCTCAAAGTGTTTCCTGTGGCTCCACCTCTTGTGCAGGCATCAAAAGGCCACCAAGTAGAAAAGAATGGTTTTTGTGAAGCATGCAGGAAATCATAGCTCAACAATATAAAAAAAAACATAATTTTATGTACGATTTTGTATAATATTGGACAATAAATTGTGGATATATTTGTATTTTATCATCATAATTGTTTTCAATGTTGAATAAATACATTTTGTCTGAAACGTTTTGAAAGTTTAAAAACTGATATGGCGATCCAAAGTTATATTTAAAATTAATCAGATAGTGACATTTCTAACAATTTATGTATTATCTTCATTTTTATAACGCCGCTCATGAACTTGTTAGACTGCTATAAAGCGTGCGTACGAAAAAATATGTTCAAAAATTTTTTTATGCCGAATATTATTTTAAAAATTATTTGTAAAAATTTCCGTTACTTACAATTGAAAATAAATTTTAAAAAAAATTTTATAAATAAATTTTTATTTGCGCGTCGTAATACTATTATTTATTATCTTTGATCTAATTTAATTAAATAAAATTAAATTTGTTATTTTATCACTCTAATTTGAGAAAATGAATTCCGAGTCATTAAAGTTAGAAGATGGATTTGTGAATGTTGAAAAAGCCGTTGATGTGATAGAAAGAAAACTACCATCCAATGAAGGTTGACACTAAAAAAAAGTTAAAAATTTTAACAAAAAATGTATTCTGGAAAGCGCCAAAATTGTAATCTTGATCAAGATATGCAACACAGTCAGAGGTTGTTTTTATATTTATAAAATATTTTCAAGCCTTAAGCTCAATTATTATGAATAATTAAAATTTTTATACAATGTTAATTTTTGTATATTTGACAATGGTTATTGCATTAGGTGGGTCTGTAAGCACTATGGAAATGTTAAACCGTCTGCAAATTTGCATCTGTACTTTCAAAGTTGCCAGAAAGCAAATTTTTAAAAGTGGTTGAAGGATGTCGAGGCTAAGGCAAGAGATAGATCATGGGAAAAAGTCCTTTCTTTCAAGACATTCCTTCAGTTGTTGAGATTGAGGCTGGTTGGTTTGTTTGTTTTTTCAATTTACTTGGTGATGATTGATAGTCAAAAAAGTACATTACAAATCACACTAACAAATCCAATTAGTCTGCAACAGTACATTGTATATCACAATGTCAAAAAACAATATGCAAGTAGTTAAAAATATATGCCATAATAATAATTAATTAAATTAAAAGATGACATTGCTGATAACTTACAGGTTACTGCGCCAGAAGAAAATGGGCAAGCTGCCAAACATTCTGTATCCTGTTGCTATCAAGCGCAAAGAATGTCCAGCAAAAAGGAAACAACTGTTTCAACAACGCAAACTTACATTTGAAAAATTGCGTCCGTCTGTGCAAGATCAATTCAGACTCTCATGGGTTTTATCTGAAGAAACGGCCAAAAACTGTGTTCAGACGGATTGCATAGCATCAATTAACGACGTTAAAGAAATAATTGATCCAAAATACAAGATGACCGTGCTAATATGTCCAGTCCACCTTGAAACAAAATTTTTCCAATGAAGCATGGACAAAATTAGAAAATAAGATGTAGTCAATTGGACAAAATTTGTATGTTTGTGTTGTTTGTGGACATCACTCTGGAAGAGACAACCAAACTCGTACTTCGTGGGTGCAGTGTGATGGCTGCATAAACTGGTACCACTGTTCATATGTTGAAATGAAAAGGCTACCAAAAGGGACGTGGTTTTGTCGACAGTGTTGATATAACAATCTTGGGTCTTTTGGTAACTGTTTCGTCTTAGCACATGAACAATGTACCCGCGTGCATTACTGTGTCAATTTGTGTGTTTGTCTGTGTGTGTTACTATATGACACTTGATGCAATGAATTTTTTATTTTAAAAATTGTCATTCTATAACAAAAATGCTTTATATTGTCTTAATAAACGTCAAATTTTGCGCTTTGACTGCGTCCTGTATCGTCAAAATAGCGTCAACTTTGTTGTACAGACTTCGGCCATCTCAACGTCGAATTCGTCATGCGAATTTCACGCTTTTCACCGTCAAAACGTCGATTTCGCCCACTCATGATTCGCACGCCTTGTAACATTTCGACGTGCGGGTTCCTCACGATATATAATTTCAAACGTCGTATTCGCCCTTTCATGATTCGCACACCTTATAGCATCTCAAAATCGAATTTGACGTGCGGGTTTCTCAAGATTTAAGATTTCAAACGTCTAAACGTCGTATTCGCACGCCTTATAGCATTTCAACGTCAAATTCGGGATGTGGGTTATTTTTTATTTTCATCTTAAGGTCAAATTCGTCGTGCGATTCTCACGCTTTACACCGTTCAAACGTATTCGCACGCCTTATAGCATCTCAACGTCGAATTCGATGTGCAAATGCCTCACGATTTATAATTTCAAGCGTCATATTCACCCGCGAATCGCACGCCTTTTAGCATCTTAACGTCGAATTCGCCGTGCGGCCTCACGCTTTATAGCATTTGCCGTGCGGAATTTTCATGCCTTATAGCATCTCAACGGCGTGTTTGCCGTGCGAACCCGCACACCTTATAGCACTGACCTTTAATTATAACAAATAAACAATATAAATATAACATATTGAATATAAGATCTATAAAAAAAAGTAATTTGTAATTTTAACGCAAAAAAACATTACAAATCAATTAGATTCACAAAAAAAGTGAATGGCTTATAGAGAACATTCAGGTAAAACGTGAGATCGGTACTCCTCGTCCATGTTTACAAACTATCGCAATATACGAACATTCATTTGTTTAAGATTACAAAATATATTATATAGTAATTTAACTAGATAATTTTTTGAGCACACTATAGGCATACACATTAAATATTTTCAACGTACCTCCAAGCCGTAATGTAAGAGTGAACTTCATTAAAAAATGGCCGCCGTGGCCACATTTTTTCCATACGAAAACGGCCACCGTGTCTATAATTTTTTAACATTGGGAAATGGTTGCCGTTTCTATAATTTTTTAACATTCAGAAACGGCTACTGTCTCTATAATTTCTTAACATTTAGTTTCGGCGTAATTTTTAACTAAATATAGAGTTTCGTTACAAAAATTCACAATTTTATATGCTTAAAATTTAAATGTTTAATATTTAAAAGATAACTTTTAACCCTAACCTAACCCTGGCGCATTTAAATTTTATTAATCTAAAATTTTCAAAATGCCCATTTTCATTATAAATAAAATAAATCTAGGTTCTTTTTTCAATTTATTTAGACTTTTTTTATACTTTCACTGCCATACTTCTCACAAAAATAATAATTACGTAGGTAGACTTGCCACAACCAGTTTTTAGTTGTTGTGCGATTGGCCTATTCTATTTAGAACGAGATTTGTTTAACTTTGAGCACTGAAATAATATTTTAAAAAAAAAGAAAAACCGATACAACAATCACACTTAACAACGACACAACAGGTTTTAAATAAAATTATTTTAAAACTTACTTGTAGGCAGGTTTGCTAATAAAGCCATTTCATTTTATAAACAAAATCAGAGCAAAAAATCGAGAACCGATATTCATAAGTAATACACATTTTGTGAACACCGCCGTTCGTTCAAGATACAAAAACAAATTTGTTGAAAGATCCTAAAAAGTATGGAAAAACAAAAATGTTTTAAATATTAATCAACTATTCTATATACTTAGAAAAGCCCTCGAATGCACGCGTACTTATTCAGTTTGCTTTAGACTCTGGGTCCATTCTTTTATTTTATCAAACTCATTAACTTTTTACACTTTTTATAGTTTAATAATAAATATCTGTTTATTTTTTAAAGATTTTGTACATTTCATTATTTTTGAATTGATTTATTTCATGCATTTGCATAATAATATGCGCACTGAGTATCTTATTTTTGGTGTACGTATGTCGTATAGCCAAGCTGATTTGAGATCGTCGTACTTCACAGGCATCCCCCTGGACCATTCTATGTAGTCTATGAATATGAAACATAAACTACATCTGTATAATAATAGTAGTTAAGGTTAGGGCTTACAGTAACCGGTTTCGATATAAATATGAAACAGATCCCTCCCAGCCTATCCCTTGCTTCGTGTGTGATGCGTCGTTTAGCATGTATTCATATGCGATGTTTGTGCGTGTTGTTGATTCCTTTCATCCCAGGAAGAGTGTAATAGACCTTTAATCTTTTTTTAAGTCAGAAAGCAAGCAATCTAGCAATCATTCAAACAATAAATCCCTGAATCAAACAAGTAGTAATCGAGTAATAAATCAAACAAACTATATTTTACACGGAGTCTTTAATAATTTCTTTTTCAATGGTCTGGTGGGACCCCCCCAGTTGATCAACTTTTTAGAGGTGGAGCAAATTTTTAACGTGTCCAAATTTATTGCGGTAGGTTTATAACACCAAAGAACTGTAATTTATAAAAATTTTAAGCTTGGTGGTTTTTTTTAGCTACAATTTTTGATAAAAAGTCACCCGCACTCATGTATACCAACATTTTTGCAGGTTGAGCAATTGATATTATAATCGTTCTTTTTAACGTATGTGTACAAAAAAATCAGGCCCGGTTTAAAATTTTTTTGGGCATAGGCAACATGCAAATTTGCAGACCTACTCCGATAATTTTTGATTTTAAAAAATAAAACAAAATTTGATTAATCTAACCAGATGCGGATATGAAAATCTGTCGCTCCTGGGCTTTTCAAAATAATGCCGCGGCTCATTTTCCGTGGGCATCGCTGTAGGCCTCAAGCCTCGTGCCCTTTCCACCCAACCAATCATGCTTCAAGAAATATTTTAAGCAGTGAAACTTTGTAGTCTATTTTTCTCGTCTTTTAACTCGAAACACACAGTTCAGTTTAAGTAATAGAATCACTACCATTCTAGAATGCCATTAGAAAAAAATTAAGAACAGACTACATAGGTATGAGTCTACTAAATAATACAAAAACATTATATCAATTTTTAAACAAAGTTTTGTGCTTTCCATTCTCTCGTGCTAGAATTTTTTTTTGCAGTTGTCCCTTCGTACTCGATGCTTCCAACCTTTATAAAAGCACCATTTTCAAAAATGTCAAATTTCTATTAAACAAAAACAAGTAGCTTATATTAATTAAAAATTTACAACCATAAATTTTTGTCAGAGCCTACAAACATACGTAAAAGCTATATTTAATCATTCATTAATGAAAAAATGATATAATATTTATATTCAGAATTATTAGTGTTGTTGTTGATATCACTTTTTCTATCGTTGATGCTATATATATATGTATCGTTGTTCATATATATATATATATATATATATATATATATATATATATATATATATATATATATATATATATATATAAATTAATATTCAACATATATTTTGTGCTTTTTCAAATTTCTTAAAAGCGCACAAAAAATATGACATTATTGCAGAAATAAAAATGTGTTCAATTCTAGACATAAACTAGACAACTGTTCCACGCAGCTGGACCCGATATAGAAAAATTTCAAGAACCAATTGCTAATTTGGTAGTATGAATGCGTGCGAATGCGATGAATCAGACTTCAAGTGACTCCATAGATCGTTGCAGTAGTCGAGCCGGGAATGGATAAATGGATGTATAAAAACTTTCATTGTAGATTCAAAAAAATACATTTTCACAACTCTAAGACTACCCAACTGGTGACGGCAAAATCGAGTTAAATTTTGGACGAGGTTTTACATGGTCTTATTGGGGTTATGTATTATTATGGTTTTCTCCACCATGTTATAGTGTTCTCTCTTTTTTACCGTATTATATTGTTTACTAATGTTAGTTAGTTATTAAATAATATAATGTTTTCCTGGTTTTCCAACATGTTATAATGTTCGAAATTAATACGAAATTATTTTAGGTTATATCGAAATGTTCCTCAGTTTATTTGATACAGGAACTAACATGCTTTGCTAATTATTATTGCTTCTCGTCTTCCATAATTATTATAAAGACGATGCGAATGAGTGTTGGTTGACTGTTACATTAACATAATTTATAGTGGTAACTTACGTGTGTTGAATTTTATGAAAAATAGCCATAACTTAGTTAAACATTACATTAATTAAATTACAAGAAGTTGCATACGAAACGGTTCACCCATTTCGATATTATTATCTTTTTATTAAACAAATAGTTATAACTTAAAATACAAATTTGTATCGAACAAATAAATGAAAATAAAAATAATTATGCATGTAATGTCTTGTATGTAGTCTATGTGTTCTGCGCATAGACTTCTATATAGTAAAAATATAGGTATATTATATAGATTTCTATGGTTCTGCGTTAAGTGTGTGTTGTGTGTTCGGCCTTAAATGTCGTGTTTTGAATAGCTTATATATGTTTAGGATTATATATGTATAGCATTGACGAATAATTGTTATGGACAACAATCTGCATTTTTATTGAATCTTGTCTGGTATGTTGTTGAAAAGAACAACGGCACACATGTTATCTACGATTTTCACTGAAGTTCCTTCCATCTAAAGCAAATTGGT